GGCCCGGGCCCACTGGCGGTCGTCAGGGCCGATCACCGTCTGTGGCCCGGGCCCACTGGCGGTCGTCAGGCCCTGTCACCGTCTGTGGCCCGTGCCCACTGGCGGTCGTCAGGGCCGGTCATCGTCTGTGTCCCGGGCCCACTGGCGGTCGTCAGGGCCGGTCACCGTCTGTGTCCCGGGCCCACTGGCGGTCGTCAGGCCCTGTCACCGTCTGTGGCCCGTGCCCACTGGCGGTCGTCAGGGCCGGTCACCATCTGTGGCCCGGGCCCACTGGCGGTCGTCAGGGCCGGTGGCCGTCTGTGCCCGGGCCCACTGGCGGTCGTCAGGCCCTGTCACCGTCTGTGGCCCGTGCCCACTGGCGGTCGTCAGGGCCGGTCACCGTCTGTGGCCCGGGCCCACTGGCGGTCGTCAGGGCCGGTGGCCGTCTGTGGCCCGGGCCCACTGGCGGTCGTCAGGGCCGGTGGCCGTCTGTGGCCCGTGCCCACTGGCGGTCGTCAGGGCCGGTCACCGTCTGTGGCCCGTGCCCACTGGCGGTCGTCAGGGCCGGTCACCGTCTGTGGCCCGTGCCCACTGGCGGTCGTCAGGGCCGGTCACCGTCTGTGGCCCGAGCCCACTGGCGGTCGTCAGGGCCGGTCAGCGTCTGTGGACCGGGCCCACTGGCGGTCGTCAGGGCCGGTGGCCGTCTGTGGCCCGGACCCACTGGCGGTCGTCAGGGCCGGTCACCGTCTGTGCCCCGGGCCCACTGGCGGTCGTCAGGGCCGGTGGCCGTCCGTGCCCCGGGCCCACTGGCGGTCGTCAGGGCCGGTGGCCGTCTGTGGCCCGGGCCCACTGGCGGTCGTCAGGGCTGGTCACCGTCTGTGTCCCGGGCCCACTGGCGGTCGTCAGGACCGGTCACCGTCTGTGGCCCGGGCCCACTGGCGGTCGTCAGGGCCGGTGGCCGTCTGTGGCCCGGGCCCACTGGCGGTCGTCAGGGCCGGTGGCCGTCTGTGGCCCGTGCCCACTGGCGGTCGTCAGGGCCGGTCACCGTCTGTGGCCCGTGCCCACTGGCGGTCGTCAGGGCCGGTCACCGTCTGTGGCCCGTGCCCACTGGCGGTCGTCAGGGCCGGTCACCGTCTGTGGCCCGAGCCCACTGGCGGTCGTCAGGACCGGTCACCGTCTGTGGCCCGTGCCCACTGGCGGTCGTCAGGGCCGGTGGCCGTCTGTGGCCCGGGCCCACTGGCGGTCGTCAGGGCTGGTCACCGTCTGTGTCCCGGGCCCACTGGCGGTCGTCAGGGCCGGTGGCCGTCTGTGGCCCGGGCCCACTGGCGGTTCGTCAGGCTGGTCACCGTCTGTGGCCCGGGCCCACGTGGCGGTCGTCAGGGCCGGTCCGCCTGTGGCCCGGGCCCACTGGCGGTCGTCAGGGCCTGTGGCACTCTGTGGCCCGGACCCCACTGGCGGTCGTCAGGCCGTCACCGTCTGTGCCCGTGCCCACTGGCGGTCTTCAGGGCCGGGCCGTCTGTGCCGGCCCACTGGCGGTCGTCAGGGCCGTGGCCGGCTGTGGCCCCGGCCCACTGGCGGTCGTCAGGGCCGGTCACCGTCTGTGTCCCCGGGCCCACTGGCGGTCGTCAGACCGGGTCCGTCTGTGCCCCGGCCCCTACTGGCGGTCGTCAGGGCCGGTGGCCGTCTGTGGCCCGGGCCCACTGGCGGTCGTCAGGGCGGTCCGTCTGTGTGGCCCGGGCCCACTGGCGGTCGTCAGGGCCGGTGGCCGTCTGTGGCCGAGCCCACTGCGTTCGTCAGGGCCGGTGGCCGTCTGTGGCCCGGGCCCACTGGCGGTCGTCAGGGCCGGTGGCCGTCGGTGGCCACCGAGCCCACTGGCGGTCGTCAGGGGCCGGGTTTGCCGGGCCACTGTGCGGTCGTCAGGGCGGTGGCCCGTCGTTGGCCCGGGCCCCTGGCGGTCGTCAGGACCGGTCACCTGTCTGTGGGCCGGCCCGAAGCCCACTGGAGGTCGTCAGGGCCGGTGGCCGTCTGTGGCCCGGGCCCACTGGCGGTCGTCAGGGGGGCCGGTCAACCGTCTGTGGCCCGGGCCACTGGCGGTCGTCAGGGCCCGGTGGCCCGTCCTGGTGGCCCGAGCCCACTGGCGGTCTTCCAGGGCCGGTCCCGCGCTGTGGCCCGAGCCCAGCTGGCGGTCGTCAGGGCCGGTGGCCGTCTGTGGCCCGGGCCCACTGGGCGTCGTCAAGGGCCGGTGGCCGTTCCTGTGGCCCGGGCCCACTGGCGGTCGTCAGGACCGGTCCAGCCGTCTGTGGCCCGAGCCCACTGGAGGTCGTGTTCAGGGGGCCGGTGGCCGTCTGTGGCCCGGGCCCACTGGCGGTCCGTCAGGGCCGGTCACCGTCTGTGGCCCGGGCCGCACTGCGGGTCGTCAGGGCCGGTGGCCGTCTGTGGCCCGAGCCCACTGGCGGTCGTCAGGGCCGGTCACCGCCTGTGGCCCGGGCCCACTGGCGGTCGTCAGGGCCGGTCACCGTCTGTGGCCCGAGCCCACTGGCGGTCGTCAGGGCCGGTCACCGTCTGTGGCCCGGGCCCACTGGCGGTCGTCAGGGCCGGTGGCCGTCTGTGCCCCGGGCCCACTGGCGGTCGTCAGGACCGGTGGCCGTCTGCGCCCCGGGCCCACTGGCGGTCGTCAGGACCGGTGGCCGTCTGTGCCCCGGGCCCACCGGCGGTCGTCAGGACCGGTGGCCGTCTGTGGCCTGGGCGGCCGCTCACAAGGCGGCCACCGTCCGTGCCTCAGGCCATCTACTGCCGGCGAGGGATGGCACCTACGCGTGACCCGCGTCAGCTGCTGAACGACGGCGTCGGTCCCGGGCGGTGGTTAGGGTTAACTACTGAATGGGAGAGACGGTTATCGGCTCCGGCCGGGATCACCTGCTAATGGAGATTGACGGCCGCCCCTGCGACTCGGGTCAACGAAAAAAATGGCTCGTGGCAGGCGCCACAGTTCCGAGATCATCGCTTACATGCTACTGCTAACGAAAGGTTAACAGACTTTCTGAAGCATAATGCTCCTTCCTACGCATCAGCAACCGTTTCGCCCATCTGAATATTCCAGATCTGTTTAAGACGACAGCAGAACATTTACATTATACTAACTCGGAGACGAGCCTGGAAAGAGCATTGACATTGGCTTGGCTAAAGTCACGCGAAGGACGACGAGGGTCCACGGATGGGCGTAGGCTCCAGATTTCCGAGATCCCGCCAAATCCATCGAGCAGGCAGCTAGGCACATCCGCAGCGTGCGCATCGAAGGCTCGATGACGACGATGCGCAGCCTGGAGGGCGTGGGGGACTCAGCTCCCCTACTTGCTCCATCTCGAAACTCCATATATATATACATATATATATATATATATATATATATATATATATATATATATATATATATATACGGTGCTTTATATATATATATATATATATATATATATATATATATATATATATATAAAGCACCGTTATCACCGGATCATTGCTTTGCGAAGGGCGCTCAGATTCCGGATCAAGATATAATACAGTCAGCACAATTGGAGAATGTTGGCGACCGGTGTTGTGGTGTAGGTACTGAAGATGGCTTTATGCAATAGTACAAAAACGTTAAAATTTGGATAATTTCCCCTAAAGTTCGTGTGGCTGTTGCCACGTGTGCCGTGCCGTGTGCTCCATCCGCACCGATCAGATATAGATGCACCAAAAACTATAGAGAATTAGCACCCCTGCTGCATTCTGTACCTTTCAGTTCTCCCAAAACTATGTCTCCACAGCCAATTGGTTTAGTTGTAAGTTTAGTGTTTCCTCTATTTGCGTTCTTTGGACACTTGTCAACGCACCACTAAATAGCTATCGGTTGATATGCGAGATAAATGTGCACACAGGATCCCGAATGTAAGGGCGCGATGATGCATCCAATCGCACTGGGGCTAACGAGCAAATGCACGTTATCACCCGCCCGCGTATTTGCCCGCGTGCGCGGCAAGATGGTGGGAATCGAACAGCTATACAGCTGCAGGTGCAGGACAACGTTCTGATTGGCATTTCAACCGTCAGCAGTGCGGTGCGCATCGAGGGCTCCCAGTTATCCATGACGATGATGAATGACGTGCTCGAGAACGTGTTGTTCTTCATGGGTGGTGGGGATCTAACAAGCATCAACAAAATCTCGGCATCAGACGCTGCGTGCGAACAACCTGCTGATTAACCACGGCTAACAGCGTGGGTGAAACACGCGCAGCTGCGCACCGATACAGGTAAATTTGACGTGATGAATGTGATTGATTCCACGAAGGCCCTATCAGTCCCAATGCATTTCAAAGCTGTCTGAAGCCATGGCCACCTGAACTCCGGGTGCGCGCACGCACCCATGTAATTTGAACCAGCCACTTTGGTGCGTGGAAGGCGCTAACTAATAATCGCACGGCACGCAGGAGCAACGCAGCGAAAGTGGGCGACCTTTCCTCGGGCTGTGATCGCATGATCAGCTGGTTGTCTGCCGTCTCCAGCCTGTTGCTTTCCCGGTATGGCGCTGTCCCGTCAACTGTTACACTCCGATGGCCAGATACGACGCATCAGTGGCCCTTGACGCCTCACCGGTGGACCAAAATGAACGGCATTCTGTCGCAACCGAGGAGGGGAAAGGAAGACAAATGCGTTTCAATAGAAGCGAATACTGTGTGGGCGGGAGGAAAACAGCGTAACAACGCCACGCATTGCTGAATAGTCAGCGATATCGAAACCACCTGACTTGGAGCTATAAATACTTTCACATATCCAGTGCACTTTTGCGAGAGGCTTTTGGCGTGCAAAACGGTTGGCCTCATTAGCCATTTCGACAGCACGCGACATACCACGCCAACGATACCTATAGACCAGCTCCACATGATGCAAACGTTCTGAAAAATCGCATTTTGTGAGTGCAACGCGCCTCGGACTGAGCAAAGCCTAACACCCGCCACCGCCGCCAGCGTCCTTTGCACGCTTACCTGACGTTCCGTCCTGTTGCCCAGTGGGATGTTCGGCCTGTTTGTCCTCGCTGAGTTCGCCTTCGCAGGACCCTGCGCCCGCCTGCCTAGCTGCCTCTCCCGGACGCACCAGCGCGTGCAGCGACTTAGACTTCTTGACGAGCCTCTTCAGTACGCTCAGCTTCTCCTTCTCCCTCCGATGGGTGGCGGTGCGCGCTCCTGTCTCCATCGCCGTCCGCGCGGCCCGCTCCGCCGCCTCGTCCGTCTCGAACATGGCCAGGTCGAGGTCCTCGAGCTCCGAACCGCCGGAGGAGCGGCGCCGGCGGCGCGACGGCGCCTCGTCCTCGCTCAGCGCCTCGCTCGCCTCGGGCGCCTCGTCGGCGCCGGCGCTGGCGTCGTCGGCCGACGTCGACCCCTCGGTGGCCGTGCTGACGCCCGAGCTGCTGGCGCTGGAGCGCGCCGAGCCGGCCGCGCCGCGACACGCCATCTCCGCCGACGGCCGCCGCGACCCGCTCTGCGCCACAGGCGGCCACCCCACCGGCGACGCACGCCGTTCCGTGCCGCGCGACCGAACGGCGACACTTTCACCGGCGCGGCGCGACGCGTCGGCCACCGGAGGCCGCGCGCTGCGGCGCGGCACGGGCGGCGGGCTCCGTCGCCGGGGCCGCGGCCGCGGCCGCGGGCCGGCCGGCGGCGGCGTGGCCCGTCGAGCCGGCGCCGCCTCTGTCGATGGCGACACGTCCTGGGACTCGTCCGCCCCGGACGGCAGGCCCGCAGCGCCGCTTGCGGCCGCTGGTGCGCGACGAGAGTCGCACGCTACGCCGAGGCGCGCGGTCGGCGGTGCGGCGCTGACGACGGGCTGGTCGGCGGGCGTGGACGGCCTGAGGCGAGGGTGAGCAGTCGGCGGGGCGGTAGCTTCAGTGCGGGCAGGTGACGAGGTAACTTTGACTCGAATGGGTATCGTCCGTGCATCGGAGACGCCAGCGATTGCTGGCGTGGCTCCCGCGGGGGGTCTTCCGAGGTTCTTATCAGGTACAGAAATGCGAGCGAGCACCACCTCTTCTCGCGCTGTGACTGGACTGTTCTTGGTGGCCGCCGGCCTGTCGTTCTCCGGTTTCTCGGCGGCTGACCCGTTCACCACCACACGTGACGCCTCCTTCCGCGGTGCTGGAATGCACGAATCCTGCCCAGCCGCGGCGATAGTTCCTCGAGCACGGCCGGCCGCCGCCGGTGCCTCGCGCGCGGTGGGAGCCGCCGCAGTCAGAACGCTGGCGGTGACGCGGCTGCGAGCCGCCGGCCCTCCTCCCGCCCCGGGCGACCGCGACCCCGGCGCACCGGACACCACGCACCCGTTCACCGTAGTCGCCTCGGCTCTGTCCGGACGATGCCCCGCCGCCGCACCGCCCACCGCCGCCCGCCTGCTGGCTGCCGGCGTGGCCGGCCGGCCACGGCCGCTCGGTGGTGCCGCCACCCTCTGCGCCGTCACCGTGCGCCGAGGGGGCGGCCGCGGCGGAGGCGCGGCGGCGCCGGCAGCGGACGGCCGCGGCGGTGGCGGCGGTGGCGGCGGGCGCAGCCGCGGCCCGTCGCCGACCGACGACTTGCTGCGGCGGATCGACCTGCGCGTGACGTCGTGACGCGAGAGTGAGCCGCTGCGCTGCGGCGGCTGGCGCAGCGGGGGCCCGGTCAGCTCCGAGGCGCTGCGCACCAGCACCGGCACGGCCGGCGGCGGCGCCGGGAGCGCGCCTCCTCCAGCCCGCTGAACGACGCCTGGCGCGGCAGCAGATGGCGCCGCAGCAGCAGCGAGATGCGGCTGGGCAGCGGCGGCCGCGGCTCGGCACTGGCCGCCGGCGGGGCCCGAGGGCTCGTCAGTTTAGTCACTACGCGCCGAACACGGCCGTCGCCGCCGGCGGCGCCTGTCTTCGACTCTGGCTGGGGCGAGGCGCCTGCCAGCTGCGGGTTCCTGCCGGCGTCGGGTCGCTCGCCTCCGCCGCCGGTCATGGCTGCGCGCTGTGAGCGCCGGATTGTGTCAGCACCGTGCCAGAGCCTGGGCCAGTGTTCCGCCTGAATCTCCCGGCTCGCCAATGTAGCCTCCTCGTGACCCACAAGGTACAAAAGATATCGCTCGTGAATAGAGCGTAGTTAGAAACCGGACGCCACAAGCGACGAAACAAAGGCTTGACAGCGGGCCTTCAGAGTTCCTCAGGAGTAAGTGGCCGCATCGGTGATCCAAACTGAGATAATCTGGGAGATCTAACCGTTGCGTTGCGCCAGTACCAAGGCCTGTGCGTGACAAAGACCGAAGTAGCATCGCTATATACCCTACGTTGACAGCCGCGGTAACAAGACCACCGATAAGACCATATATAAAAACTGGATGCACTTCACATCGAGTCACGAAACCCGACGGCATGCGACTGTGAAGGTCACAGGACCATTACCGGCGGCGATAAAGCTCGCCGTGCGCTGCGACACCGTTGAGAAACGCGTCTGAATTACCGTCCCCGTTCGTGTGGATGGCCGGCGGTACAATGAGCCTACGTAACCGGCGCACGACTCGGCCATTTGTCCACTGAACAGAAGGGCAAGCGCTCACGCAAGCACTGAAGTTGGAAACGGTGTGAGCGCTTCGAACCAGCTAAGTGCAGGGTTGATTGTTTCCCGGCACGACAGTACAGTCTGCGGCCTGCGGTACTGAGGCGTCAGCGTGCGCGTGCTTCCTCGTAGCTGCGTTTGTGTGCGTGTGACGGGGGCGTGTGTGCACTCGGACGCCCTGCGATAACGCCGCCACGGCGTCGTGACAGCCGTGCCTCCCGGCTGGAGCGCTCGTATAGTCTGCGCGCCGTCCTCTGACCGGTCTCGGTCAATATTGGCGCGGCCCGGCGACGCGGCGGCAAACAAGGCGCGGCCCGAGGGTGGCAGCCGGGCGGGAGCCGGCCCGCTCCGTCCCGGACTCACCGCGAGCAGGGTCTGACTGCCGCGCCGGCGCCGCAGCAGCCCCAAAGCTCCGCTCATATCACTAGATTTCCTTGCACGTCGTGCGCCAAAGCCGTGTGAGAATAGCCTTGATGGAGCTCGAGGGCCAATACGCTTGCGAGGGAGGGGGAGCGGAGTGGAGTATTGAATGAGTTGACAATGGTCGATGTCCGACAACAGGGGGACAGAGGTGCGGGGCGCGCCACAGGTGGGAGAGTGGAGGCGTGCAGTGAGTGCGGTCCACAACGGCCAACGTTCTGCAGCAGCCGTTATAAGCATTAACATAGCATTTGTTTACAATATGTATTAGCAGCATTTGCATAGCACTGACCAGAGCTTATGTTTAAGCGCAAAGCTACACCAGTGAGACGGCTCACTTGCAGCGGCGCTCATGCCCACAGCCCGCTCGCTGCTTGGGGCCTATCGGAACCGATCAGAGAGTCCGTCTGCCTCGGGGGTCAGTGTCAGCCAATCAGACAGCCGGCCGGATGGTTTCGAGGGACGAACAACATCCGCGGGACCCGTTCGCCTGGTGACAGTTGCTTATGCACTCTGCTGGACAGATGGCCATCAGCAGGCCACGTCTGTGACTGCAGAGGTGCACCGGTCTGTCCAGCGCAGCCCAGACGTTCACCGGTCTGCCCAGCGCAGCCCAGGCGCTCAACGGTCTGTCCACCGACACGAGCATGATGTCTCTGTCGCCCCGGGTGCTCCCCGATGGCGCGGGGTGAGGTCCCACCCGACCCCGAGCGTTGCCGGCAGAGCGGCGGTCGTGACAAGGTCAGGAAGTCGTTACCAGGGCCGACACGACAGTCGGCGAAAAACAACTCGGTAACTCGGCTGGAATGGCCGTCCCAGCGGCGGTCTGACGCGCCCCGCCAGCCAATCAGAGGTCACACAGCAGACTGACACGGCCAGGAGAGGATCCAGCCCCGCCCGACTCAGAGAACCCGCCGGCCAGTCAGAGGTCAGACCCCAGACTAACACGGCCAGGAGAGGATCCAGCCCCGCCCAACTCAGAGAACCCGCCGGCCAGTCAGAGGTCAGACCTCAGACTGACACGGCCAGGAGAGGGTCCAGCCCCGCCCGACTCAGAGAACCCGCCGGCCGATCAGAGGTCAGACCCCAGACTGACACGGCCAGGAGAGGGTCCAGCCCCGCCCGACTCAGAGAACCCGCCGGCCAGTCAGAGGTCAGACCCCAGACTAACACGGCCAGGAGAGGGTCCAGCCCCGCCCGGCTCAGAGAACCCGCCGGCCGATCAGAGGTCAGACCCCAGACTGACACGGCCAGGAGAGGGTCCAGCCCCGCCCGACTCAGAGAACCCGCCGGCCGATCAGAGGTCAGACGTCAGACTGACACGGCCAGGAGAGGATCCAGCCCCACCCGACTCAGAGAACCCGCCGGCCAGTCAGAGGTCAGACCCCAGACTAACACGGCCGGGAGAGCGTCCAGCCCCGCCCGACCCAGAGAACCCGCCGGCCGATCAGAGGTCAGACGTCAGACTGACACGGCCAGGAGAGGATCCAGCCCCGCCCGACTCAGAGAACCCGCCGGCCGATCAGAGGTCAGACGTCAGACTGACACGGCCAGGAGAGGGTCCAGCCCCGCCCGACTCAGAGAACCCGCCGGCCAGTCAGAGGTCAGACCCCAGACTAACACGGCCGGGAGAGCGTCCAGCCCCACCCGACTCAGAGAACCCGCCGGCCAATCAGAGGTCAGACGTCAGACTGACACGGCCGGGAGAGGATCCAGCCCCGCCCGACTCAGAGAACCCGCCGGCCAATCAGAGGTCAGACCCCAGACTAACACGGCCGGGAGGGGATCCAGCCCCGCCCGACTCAGAGAACCCGCCGGCCAGTCAGAGGTCAGACGTCAGACTAACACAGCCGGGGGAGGGTCTGGCCCCATCCAGCTCAGAGAACCCACCGGCCCCGGTCCTGCGCACGGAGGACGGGGTCTGGGGACTGTTCAAGACAAGACCTGACACCCCGCCTGTTTCTCACGGTATAGTCCTTTACATCCCAGCTAAGGACAGTCACCAGTCGAGGGCTGCGGGAAAATCCACCGGACGGGACAACCGTCTGGTAACATTGTGGGACGCAAAATAGCCTCATCAGTCGACGCCCCCATTAAATCCAGATCATCATCATTATCATTAAAATTGGGTGTGCGTCCATGGCCAAGGATAACGGTTCTAGCTCTGTCACGTCTATTCGAAGAAAATACAAGGACTATCAAATGGTGCACCAGGTAAAACAGTGGTGATCAAGTGACTTCGGAGAACTGACTTGAAACAATGCTGGCAATGTGCGGTGTGAATAATATTACCGGGACCCTTACAGTCAGCTT